GTCGTTCTAAAACAGCTCGCACAATTCTGCAGAAAAAAAAAAATCTGTTTTAATTAAATCCTGACAATTCGTCATCAAGAGAAGTCGACTCTTCACGGATTTAATTAGTCGCTAATTCGTCGCCGTTCTATAAATCACGACTTTGCTTTCGCGCGGGTTCGGGTCTCTTCCGCCTTAACACAACGCGCGCCAGGGAAGAGGATTGTTCGATATCCGGAGAGAAAGTCGACGAAACAGCGCGAATCCACCGTGGCGATTTAATTGTTAGTGTTTTCGCTCATCGGGGTTCCTCCCACCCCCCTGACCCCGACTTCTCTTCGGCAGAACATTGTTAAATCATTCCCCCGCGGCACATGTAGCGCGAGGAGGCGTTCATAATCCGCGGCGTTCGCACGAGGGAATTCGCGCGATTATCCGGATGAGTCGAGAGTTTCGCCATCTCGCCCCTTTGCATGCAACCGCCGATGACGTACACAGTGGGGGAGCACAGAAAGTGCGCGAAGTTTAAGATGCAGGAAGCATCCTCGGGAGACTGCGGCGCGCTTCGAGCAGACTTGATTATTTACCGGCGGGTTGAATCGCCGCGTGTCGCGCGCACATAGGACTTCGGCTCTCGTCATAATTCCCCAAGCTCCGACATAGTCGGATATTTTCGTTGCGCCGCGGCTGATTTACGGCCGATCGGATGGCGAGAGAAGCGACGAGTGCGTGCCGACGACGATTAGAATCCCTCAAGTTAGAGTTAGAACATCGCCCGCCACTTGTAGAGGGGAGAAGTGAGTGAATGAGAGAGAAGCTACAGCGTGTTCATCACTTCAATCTCAGGGGGAATCCATACCTTGGCGGAAAAGCAGAAAACAGAAAGGCAGAAGCCAATCAGAACTCACGCTGGTAGAAAAGCACAAACTGTCGACTACCACCTGATCAACAGTTCTGATTGCTTTTCTGTTTTCTGCTTTCCTGCCAAGCTATGAATTCCCTTAGAGCTTCTCTCTCATTCCGGTCAACTCGAAAAATGGCGGGCAGGATGCAGATCAATCAGGAATCGTCATGCTTTGTTTTAACTCTAACGACAATGAAGACGACACGGGATCCTACGCCGGACAGTCTCGATCCTGTCGGACCTAGGAGCGGTTATCTGCAATTCTACCGATGATCCAGCGTTCCATTATTCATGATCTATGAATAATCGCGTAGATGGGTAACGCCCGACGGGACGAGCGAGCGCGAACGAAAGAACGATGGATGGGCTTTGCATATGCTGTCCTGGAATCTATCGACCGAGTCCCGTCGATGGATTTTGAGGATGCACGGCGCAGCCCGCGAAATTGCGGTCGATGAAACCTCATGAGGCTCAATCTCGTTATCATTCGAGTTCAATTCGCTCACACAAATTCCTGGTCCTGCAGGCGTGTTTTCGCTCACAATGTCTACGATGTTTAATTAATCGACGGTGTCGATTGAGACGATTGAATAGATTTCATGAATCGCATGAATGCATAGCAATTTATAGACACGTAATCGAACATACCACTCGACAGACTCGCGTTTAAAAATATCGGCGAACATCAAAAGTGAGCGTTATACGACTAATTCGATTCTGTCATGCGTAAATCGTGGTGCGAATTATTCGTCCATTTGTAATAATGAACCCGATTAATTGCGACAGAAGATTGTGAAAAAAAGAAGAATAGTTAATATTCGAGCAACGAGAGAAAAGAGATTCGGGTGATTATGCAGAGCGTGTAAAAAAATAATTTTATGAATTAGATATCGCAATTACTCTATAATTTTGCGTAAGATAAAAACAGCTGAGACTCGCGAGGAAGGAAAGAGAAAATTCATGTGGTTATGCGGCGTGTGAAAAAATAATTTCATGAATTAAATATTGCAGCTACTCTAAAATTGTGCGAGATAAAAAAACAGCTGGGACTCGCAAAAAAAAAAAAACGAAAAAAGGGGGTTGGTGCAGCGCGCGTGAGAAAATAATTTCATGAATTAGATATTGCAGTTACTCTGAAATTGCATGAGGTAAGAAACAGCTGGGATTTGCGAGGAACGAAAAAAGTGCAGATGGTTATGTAGCGCGTGAGAAAATAAACGGACGCGACGATCCCGCCGAACGCTTAGCTTGAAAAGCTCGTGGTTAATTTTCCCCGAATGTTGAATGATCCAAAATCCGTGTCACGATGGAAAGTTTTAGTGCCGCCGCGACAGTCTTACCCATCTCGCGATAATCTATAATGTACATCGCGATAGGTTTCGCTTTAATGCGTTCCATCTGTATTCTGTCGTCACGCTTTACTACAGAACCCGATCGATAGCCACACAAGGACGCAAATGATAGTCCAGGTGCAGGTATAGTTATGTCAATTACGCAACTAAATAATCGCGTTAGTCTGCGTTTTCCTTTTTTTTCTTTTTTTTTCTTTTAACGCACCCCATCGCCCTCGCTGAATACAAAATTCGATCGATGACCGCGGACGCTCTCGATAGTCTCGCAGCTTCAAATACATCACATGCTAATACCTATCGATACATGGCACATGCACCGAGCGACACAATGGCGAGTTTATTTTACAGTCCTGATGATTCCATTCTACCACGCGATCGCGTAATAATAGTGTTACGATCTACTCCCGACAGGGGATGAAACGAAAAACATCGCGAGTGAGATGCGACGGAAATACTTCTATAAAAACATTTCCGCGACGAACACAAATAATTCCGGGAAAGAAAATATCGTCGATGAGACGCGAGCAAATTGTGTCCGGATGAAAATTTTATTTTCGACGGACAAACAATCACGAACACGATAGAAAACATTTTATATTTGTGTTGATCCACGTGGGAAATTTTTATGTTAAAATGTTAACACACTTCCTGCGTGTTAATTTAACGTGTTATCGTATTTTGACTGTTCTGCATTGAGTTCATATATTCAGCATTTCTAAGCGTTAAAATAACAGGACGTCCAAGTGTCACATTTTCGTGTTAATTTCCGACGTGTTACTCGCGTGGTTTGTTTACATACTCGCCCGTCAATTATTGCCCATTAATACAAAAATTGGAATGGATAAATTGAGATACGCAAGATGCGCTGAATTTAACAGAAATTTTTTTACAGCGCGAGACATGTACGAATCTCTCGCGTGCGAAACCCGCGAATTTTTTTCAACTAACGGCACAGCAACGCGTTCTTTCTCCACTCAACTCGTCGCTTCGTATTCCGGTCATTCTGTAGAAATTGCGACGGACTGACACAATAAGTAGCGAGCGGTAGAGATATCAAACGGAAAGGAGATATCAGGGTATCATTACGTGCACGAGAGAATCAAGGTATCATTACGCGCGCTCCCGAGAGCGCGCTCCGTTTTAAGAATCCATTCATTGTCTGTCGCTTTCTACGTGGTCGGGTCGTTCCGCGGCACTTCCGTTTCTCACGAAGTATCGCCCCTACACCGTTCGCTTTAACGAATGTTCTTACTTCTTCATGCAGTTCGTGAAACTCGCGTTTTCGTACGCTTAAACGACGAGCGGTAATGGCGAGTCTCGGCTAAGTTATTTCATATTAAACTCACTGTTTTGTATTCCTCACAGCTCGCGCAGCAGATTGCTTTTAATGCTGCGTGAACGAGAAGTTTCGTCGATGGACTCTACAAGTTTCACACATTCAAAAGTCGTATAGGCGAAACTTTTGAAAGCGCATAGGCTTTTATTCAAGACAAAACCGACTTGATGAGAAAGGAAAAATATTTTGCCGTCTCTCTTTCGTTGCGTTTGAAAACACGCTATCTCGCAATTCAAGGTGAATTCGTTTTGTCTGTGTGTTTGGATATTTTCTGCCTCATATACACACTACTGAAATTATGAATAAAGAATAGAGAAATATCTCGCCGATATTGAGAAAAGCGGCGGTTCGCGACAATCAAGTCTTATTAAAATCCGACAACGCAATTCTGCCGAACGCGAAGTGCGACACAGACGTTTCGCAGCGGTTGTCTTTCATCGTCAATTTGCATGGAGTCCAGTTATAAATTGTTTCGCAGCTACGAATCGTATTCACAGAAACACAGCGCCGTACGGTAGATAGGTAAATTGCCGCGCATAACTTATTAACGTACGAGCACCGAGGTTTGCCACTGTTCGCAAATCGATGGCGGATAGATAAATTGCAATTGACAACGAATCAATATCTTATAGGTCGCCCGTGAATATTGCATGTACAGTTCTGTTCATTAATAAGTCTTGCGATAACGGCGACTTTGGTGATACATATATTTCACGACGAGTGTAAAAATCGAACGAGACATATCGTAAGTATCGTGCACAAGCGTTTTTTTCAAATCTATATCCGTCTAATTTCGTGTCGCACTAAAAAATAACTTTGCCATCCAATGATTCGGCGTTTGCACTGAGAAAAAAACTTGAAAATTTGTGAGATATAAAGTGTATTTCTGTGAAATAAGGTTTATTTCTTTGAATGAAACTTATATCCCATAAATAAGCATGTAAGTACTTTTTTCAGTGCACTGAAAAAAATACTAGAAAATTTAGTAAATATATAGAAAACTGGTGTCACCTCCGATGGGCTTGACCTTGACATATGTTACAGAAGTCACGCTCTTGAGTGGCCTTCTGAAGGTTTTAGCTGTCGTCCATTGTTCGTTAAAGTTATTAACAAAAGAAGTTGCATCAAATAAATGTAATTTTTGGACAACGCCCGGGCGGGCTCGCAGTGTATGCGTGTGTTCCTATTATATTTGAAGTTTTATAAATAGAAAATAATAAAAATAAAAAAGATGCCTGTCCCTAGCCGTGTAACTGGGGGGCTACGACCTCCAGACCCCCCGCACCGCGGCAGGGGGAGAGAGGTATTAAGTCTTTTGTGAGAAATTTTCACTCTTTATCTGAAGTGCAACAGACTTGGCCCTCCCCCCCGCGGTGCGGGGGGTCTGGGGGGAGGGACGTAAGTCCCCCAGTTACACAGCTAGGGACAGACACCGTTTACATACTACATTTAATATACCCTGTATTGATATTGATATATCTTTTTTTAAATAACTTTTTAACAAACAATGAGCGCCAGTTAAAACCTTTTGAATGTTACTTAGGGCAGTGGCAGACACTTCTTAGCCTACAAATTCGATGTTTTCATATATACAGTGTCCAAAAATTACATTCATTTGATGCAACTTCTTTTGTTAATAACTTTTTGACAAATAAAGAGCGACAGCTCAAACCTTCAGAAGGTCACTCAGGAGAGTCTCTATAACATATGTCAAGGTCAAGCCTATCGGAGATGGCACCAGTTTTCTATATTTACTGAAAATTTATTTATTTGTGGAAAATAAGGTTTATTTCTGTAAAATCAAGTTTAATTCTGTGACATACTTTTATATCACAAAAATAAATTTTCAAGCATTTTTTTCTCAGAGTACTGGGATAAAAGTTTATTTCACAGAAATAAGTTTGATTTCACAAAAATAAACTTTATATATATATATATATTTCACAAATAAATTTTTTAGCATATTGTTCTCAATGCGTGAGAGAATAATCAGACAAAAAGAATCTGTTCGTTTTCAACTGTCGCGACCGCGGATCCGCCGGTGACGTTTCGAGCACGTCGAAGCGCCGCGACGCGACCGCGAGCCTTCGTTGTCCCTTCAATTATTCCCACGAAGAATAAACAGCGGCTATCGTAAACTCTCAGCCGTGCGAAGCGCAAAGTACTGGTTAGAACGTATGCGGAAGGACACACGCGCGCACGCACACACGGTTGCCGTGTTCGCGAAACGTTTTACGGTGCGTTTAGACTTGACGTTTATTTTATGACCTCCTCTTTACCTTCAGTGCGACGCAAGCTCGTTCCTTTCTCTATCTCTTTCGCCCTTATCCCGCACAGTACCGTTTTGATACACGAAGGGCCGACGCGCATCGCAGATAACAGCCGTTTTAATAGGCAAAACAGCGTGAAATAAATGTCCGACGCGTCCTTTAACGACGATGAGGACGGTAAACGTGATCTCCTATTGACCACGTCCCACTTGACGCGTGCATGTTATTACCGCCCGAAGGCCGTCTCGCCGAGCGAATATATTATATTAATTAATAATAATGTATACGTCGCTCGACCGACTGCGATCTTTCGCCGTGCGCGCACGTGACACACAATATGTCGGCGACGTTCGTGGCGTTCAGTCGCGAAGTTCGCGTTTCCCGCGTACAATCAGAGTGTTCCGATGGAGGAGACGTTTTAATACAAGTACAATGTTTGTCTATTGAAACAAAAGACTAGATAAATATAACACGCCGTACAGCGCAATTAGGATTCCTTCTGACTTCGCGCCGCGTAGGTCAATTTCGCGGAGCACAAAAGAGCTCTTGCGACAACCATCAGTATCCTCGAAAAACCCGCTTGGCCGAGGCCGAGAACCGCGAGTAATGGAAAAAGGAAGAAAGAGAGGGAGAAAAAAATATCCTGTCTCACGTAACGAATAATCCCGCCTAACGGGACTCGTTATACCATCGAATCGTCGCGGGTCCTCGAATCCGTTACGAGACCGATCGCCCGTTGCGTTCGCGCTCATTAAAAGTTTCGTTGCCCCGGCACGATGCAGCTATATTTGCATAGGTTTCGGTCTTCTCTCCCTTTCTCTCCCTCTCCCCTCGTTCTCTCTCTTCTTTCTCGCAGCGGTCGGCTCGGAGATTTAACAGGGCGTTAAGAAGTGATGTATCTATATGCACGTATCGACCAGCTCGCCAGAAAAATTCCCGCTCAGGCTTCAAAGGGAACACCTGACAACACGATTTCCCTAACGAACCTTTCGCAGTAATTAATTGCCCATATGATCTGCTTCTCTCGGGTGATCAATCTTTTCATTGTCGATCGTGGTGTATTGATTAAAAGTATATGCTTTGAATGTCGCAAAAATTCTTTCAGTGCTCTTTTCGTAACACAGCACTGTCCACGATATAGGCACAGGAAAGTAATTTTACCTAATAAGTTAATTATAAAAATTAGCAGTTTAGTTGTAAGAGGTAGGGTGCGGAGCGTGTGTGTGTGTGGGTAGCGTAGAAAAGATTTGTAATATGACTTTGTAACCCCATATGGGGAAAAATAAAGGATATACATCAAGTAATTTTACCTACGATAACGCGAGGATTTTAATTAATATCACGATAATATCATTATAGGTATAATTTAGAAAACAGCGCGACAGTTACGCGATAATTCGCGACACGGCGACGCTGAATTTCTAAAAAAGAAGAAAACGGAAGATCGTTATTAAGGCGTAATTCGCGAAGGTTAAGCTCGACGAAGTCGTCGACCGAGGGACGCTAGACGGACGCGGGATGAACTTATTGTCGAATTAACGCTCGTTAGACGTTAGCACCGTTGGCGAGCGGCGAATTCGCAATTCTTTCCAGGCGATAATAGTCGCGCGACGACGTGTGCTACAACGTCGTGGCGCATTTCCGTCTATCGCGCATAACTCGTGTGCGCGCTCAACTACCGATTCTGTCACGGCGGTCTGATCAACGGACTTATTACACGCGGATGTAACTAGTTTCCCGCGATTGGATGCGTGATGGAAAAGCTGCTCTCTCATATATATTTCATCCGGGGGATATTAATGATTCCGTACGCCGCAGCTTGTGATACGCGATCGCGCGTCTATTTTGGTTTGCCTCGACGATAAAATGGCAGCTAACGAGGAAACCTCGATGATTTCTTGTTATGTTATTCCTTTCTCTCTCTCTCTCTCTCTCGTTCTCACACAAAAATTTGTCGAAAGAGAGCGAACACATAAAGTCTCGCACGATCGCGCAAGTATTAATGAGGAATGCATTATTGTGAAACCGAACGTATTATCGCTCTTGAATGAACACGGAAAGTCATTACTTAATTACGAGAAGAATCTCGATGTCTGATAAATTTCGAAATCGATACCGCCGCCGAGGAGCGCGACTCGAGTAGCGGCATCGAATCTCCGTAACGACCACATTTAATTACAGCAGGCGGCGTCGAGATCCGAGATCCTGACCTGCCTTTAATTAATACGAACGCTCTAAGTGTTTGTGACAAACACGCGTATCTACACAGGATCCGAGTTATCTGTGCGCTCCTGTGTTTTTTTATCCCCATTTATATGCCGTGTAATGAGATATCTTTATATAACGCGCAGCGTGCGAGATATAATAACGAAAGTTTCATTAATTCCCGACGAACATTCGTGATTATTTCACGTTCCAATGAAATTGCATTTTAACACGCTTCGAGAATAATACGGAGACATAAACAAAATTAATTAAGCAAGCGCGCGACATTTCAAGCTGCGCGTGCAAATAAAGTTAGGAATTAGATAAACAAATGCAAGTAAATAAGTAAAAGCTTGAGAAAAATGACTGAATTCCGTATTTTATTAATTTACTTATTTGTTTATTCGTTTTATTTATTTAATTATTTCAATTTTATGTATTATTGTCGCCAAAGAGGATGATATTTTCGTATTATTCATACGCGTATATACGCAATCTTTTTGATTCTACGTTATAAATTTCGCTTGAACTCTACTCGGGTAAGATGTTTAGTACCTGGCGCGCGAGTTTCTTGGAAATTGCCCGAGCGGCACCTCTCATGGGAAATCTTTGGACGTTCTAACAGACAAGTAACACCTGGCGACAGGTGCTCGGAGAGTATATCGGCGCTGCCTCGATCTAAACGTTCGGCCAGGTCTGGTAACGCCTCGCGGATATTTCAAGGCTCATTATCCGCGTCTTCCGGCCGAAAGTACTGTTTAAATTTTTTTTCTGTCGTTTTAAAATTACGAGGATCTGAAACTTTGTTCAAAATTCTAAATATCGCATTTTTAGCGCTTCGAAACACGGAAGAGAAAATATTTCACTGCCGCAAGAAGTTATCCTGAAAATTTGTTACTATAACTCAAACCTTTGCTACTCTTATTACTACATCTAATACCTATACTTTCAGATATCCATATGAGAGATTTGAGACAACGAGATTTAGCCATCATACACAGATTCTGTTGTTGTAATCGACTTTTCTTCGTGAAAACAAATACGACGCATTCAGTCTTAGGACGTAGCCTTTAAACGCAAAAATACGTATCGATTACATGAGAAAATCGCTGTATCAATTCACCCACGTTCGGCACAGACGCGATACAAAATGATATCGCGATACTAAGTGACAATGGGGGGCGCGCGCAGAATCCATCCCTAGGAGCATTAATCCAATGTAGCACCGTAATTACGAGCATCCAATCTCTCCTTCGGGTATAATAATTACATCCACAATGTTTCCCCGATACTTAAGTTTTATAGATTGCCAGGACACGCAATTTCTCAGCGTTTATTATATCCTTATCTGACGCCTTGATTAATATCCAGCAGGATGGAGAGAACATTAGGAGAATATTATACGTAATTTATATGTCAGTCATGTTTTTCCACACACGAGCGTGAGCCGCCTCGCAACATTGTGTACCGTTCGCTGACAATAATTTGAAGTTTCGATAACAGGAAAAATCAAGTATCGACCGACAGTCACTGTAATTACAATGCATTAGAATGTATTACCGCGCTCGCATACACGTATAGCGCGGCAGGTGCGCTCAACTTTCCTACGCTCGCAAAGTGCGCTCGCGACGCAACCCCATACGTTATTGGCGCGCGAAATAATTCTCGCGTAATTGCAAAAGCGTTAAGCGCGTTAGAACGCTGTTGCATCGACATGATAATTTGTGTTTCAATCAAAAGACGCGGCTGCGCACCACCGCGCCAACAATCCTACGCGGTGAACGCAGAACCCCACGAGAGTAACGTGCAATTACGTGTACTTCTTCGTCTTAATTGAAGTGCCGATGTTTATTTCCCGTATCAATTTTAGACGATATCTCACGTGTCGTGAGTGAGTCATGTTTATGCAACAGCCAGCGGACGGGATTTAATGATAACGAATGGTTCGTGTAACAAGTAAAGTCTGCAGTTACATAATCGCGCTTGACTCCATAACGTGTCACACAATTTGTCCCTTCCTCGCTGCTGTCCCGACGCACGTTTTACACGCGAGGACGGGCCGCCCAGCACATTGGTTGAACTTCACATCCACAAGTTGTGGCAAGTCCCTCGCTCTTCTCACTTCTCATCTCGACCAACTCGCCGGATCCACCGAATGATCTTACGGCATAATTTACTCGCACGTACGCGTAAAAGAACCTTCGGCATTGAGAACTCGGTTTTCAACTTCCGCCACAATTTCCGGCCATTTCTCTCATCCTTCGTCCGTGACCCTTTTACGGGGACCCTCATCCTGTTCGACGAAATACGTTTCCGTTTCTTTCAAGAGACGCCTATCGTTCACCAAAATCCAAATGTGTTTTCCCTAAAAAATTATTACTCCACTTTTTAAGAAACAAAATAACTTTTATTAAAAAAAAAGCGAATGAAACTATATGTACGTTTGACTGTAACATTTATCTAAACCACGCCGTCGTTTTATGAAACTTGTAACAATACTTGAATATACTTTGTCGCGAAATGCACCGCTATGAGTGCTCGTTAATCATCTGCCTGCTCTACATTTCATCCTCGATTTTGCTCTCGAAGATAATTCTTTCTGCGTCTCTGATTATTTTTTTATTGGTTTCCCGCGGTCGACCTCCTTTCGATGTTTGTCGTTTCATTGTTACGTTTTTCCTAACGGCCCTGCCGATCGATATTTCTTTCACGAGCTAGATGGAGACTCTCTGACTTCGCGGCTTCGTCATTTTCGTTCGATTTCTTGCCTCAGTCGTCGGTACCGTTTGTTGCAAACATCCCGTCTCCAACACCCCAAGTATTTTTACTCCCTTCGCTATCTATTCCCTCGATTATTCTGACATATCCCTACTAACCTATTCTTCGTCTTGCGGATATAAGTCCCTTATCTAGGGACTCTATATCGTTTCGTTGAATCTTTCACAATTTTATCGCTGCGCTGCCAATAATATCCGCGATCCTCACGTTCTCCTCATATCATCGTCATCGGTAGTTTTTACGTCCCTATCGCCGGCGCTGTCGTCGACATTGTTACGATTTTCCTCGGTCAACTCGTCGAGAATTCGTCGCTCGTCGGCCGTGAGAGCCGCACGGTTCACGAAGCTCGCGATATCAGCCGCGTGTGCCGCCAATAAACGCCTCCTTTGCTCTTTGGCGCATTCCGCCTCAAGCAGCGCCAGCCTCTGCTCTTCTTTGATGCTTTCCTCCATCCTAGCAATCTCCTGCTCGCGAATCCTGCGGCGGTACGCAATCAAATTCTCCAGGTCCTCCCGATGCTGCACCTTCATCCTCCTCCTCGCCTCCGCCGTGCATCTCGCCAGTCTCTCGTCTTCCATAATCTTCCTCATGACATCCTCAGCCCAGGCTCTGTCTTCCTCCACGAAGCGCTGCTTGCATTGCTCCGTGAGGACTATCTGCTCCTCCAAACCGGCTGCCAGCTCCTGTTGCATCCTCCTCCTACGCGCCCCCTGCTCCCGTTCTCTGATCACGAGCTCGCGTCTAATCTCCTCCGTCACGAGATCAAACAACCGCTCCTCCTTCTCCCGCTTACGCGCCTCTGCATCCAGTATCATCCTCGCAGCTTCCAGCAGGACACTCTCGCGCCACTCTATCTGCTCCCGTCGCAGCCTTTTCACCTCCTCTGATCTCTCGTCCATCTCTTGCAAGTACTCCAGGTCCTGCCGTCGCTTCCTCTCTTCGGCCTCGCGCTCCTCCTGTCGACGCTCCTCCTTCATCTCCTCGAGGACCAGTCTCTCCCGCCTCGTCTTCTCCGCGAGCTCGCATTTCTTTTCCAACGCCCTCGAGCGCTCGCACTCCTCCTGCGCGCGGTCCATCTCCTCCAGTGTCTTCCTGTACTCGCGAGCCTCCTCCGCGAGAACTCTCCTCTCCTCGTCCTTCCGTGTCAATTGCTGGTCTAGCTGCCGCCTGTACTCCTCGCTCCTACGCAGAATATCCGAGCGGCGCCGGAGTTCCTCTTCCAACGCTTCCCTCTGCTGCTGCCGCGTCAGCTCGGCGCACTCGCGCTCTCGCACCAGCTCCGCCTGTCTACGACCCCGCTTCTCCTCCAGCTGAGCCTGCAGCTCCTTCACCGTGTAGGCGCGCTGCAATTCCGCCGCGAGGTCTGCGACTTCGTCATGCGACCGGCGATTGCGGCAACTCCGGCGAAATCTTGCGACGTAGCTCGCGCTGGTCTCGCGATTCGGGGCGTCTTCTTGGCTCGAAGCTCCCTCTTCCATAATCGTGGAATTTTTACGATGTTTCGCGGAAGACGACGATGCTCCGGGAGAAGAGACAGGACGGAGAGTTCGTGCGTTTTCTCTCGAATGATAAATGCGGATCGTGCGTTTAGCGTGGAATGCGAGTCGTCGGTCGGGCAAGATGTGTTTTAACGTTGCGAGTCGACCGTAATCTTCTGGTTTTGCCTGTAAGCGTTACGCTGGTTCATTACGGTCCTGCGGAGAATGAAACGTGCATGCGGATAGTCGATAGATGTTCGTGCGGGTTTCAGAATTCTCGCGTTGCCGTTTATCGGGTCTCGCATTTTAAATGCGTCCATGGTGTTTCTCACGCTAACTCGTTACGACACCGTCACCATTACAAACTGATCCTCTAATTATAACAGTTTAGCACGCGTCCATCGTGCGCATGCATTTCGCGAATCGAGATACGCAACGCGCGGCGAGACGTCGCGCATCGTTTTTGTCGATTTCTGCTCGTTAAAAAGAACGGAACCGTGTTTTTCGTTCGCCCGTGCATATTTTCTGTATACTATTGCGCGACGCAAAAGGCTCCCCGCGACGCGCTAATTAATTGACGCGCCGACTGATTCGACATCGGCGAGCACGCCGTCGCGGCTGGAAAGAGCGCGGTAGCTGGTTCAGCAACAAAAAGTTCCTCACGACGCGCGCTACCGCGACTCGCATTTGCATCTCGCATGACGTCAGACTAATGCTCATGCACCGAGCCGCATTAACGTCAGATTAACGGTGAGGCAGCCTTTCGCGTACGTGGGTTGCTTCTTTTTCATCCACCCCCGCCTATGATCTCCCGCCTCCTCGTCGCTCTTCCCGTCCCAGACGTACTTTTTCTCTTACGGGACCTGAATGAGAGCTTTGGGAACGTTCGCACGGCGAATCGGGTTAATCCAAATTTAGCGGTAAAACGAGAGAAGTGGGCTACTACGCCCCGTTAGATCTGCTGCCTTCCCTTTGCCCTGCCCTGCCCTGACCTCTTCTCCCCGTCGCTGTAATAGCTTCATTGTTGGTAGCAGCGAAAACGAAAACTATCATTAATCCTGGCTACCCGATGCCCGACGATAGAAGCGGCGAACTCACTCACAGCGCTGCCACGTTGATCGCGCGGTAATTAACGGGGCGCGCTCTTCAGCGCGCGATATCGCGATATGTTGAGCGAAATTAATAAATTGCCGCGCGCTCTCTGATGAAGAAATGTACACTGCGTATAATGTATGACTGGTGGAGACGGCGGGAATTTTTCTTTTCCTCCTCTCCGTTTTCCTGCCTTTCTTTTTGACGAGAGAAGAACGCGAAGCGCGAGAGAGGTCAATCCGGAACGTGACGACAGACCTACAAATGATCGTTCGAATTTTCTAGAAAGATACGGGATTGAATCAGCACTCTGTCTCTCTGACTTTGACATATGCGCAGCACAATTACGGGTTGCTTGTCGTTCGAAGGCAGCTGCCGACTTGCGAGTGCAGAGAGGACAGCAATTTGCCGGGAGTATACTACCAACACATGTCGCGCGTGTTATCGAAGCATCGGCAATCTCTTTCTCTCGCCGTGACAATGTTGTTAATGAGAGAATCCGGTGATCTCGGCGTAGTTGGATCGACGCGCGTAGGACGAGCAGTTCGGGATACTTCGTTCGCGTGGAAAGTGATATTTTGCGCTATTTTGCGTTGCAGACATGAAATTTCGGGATTGAGATAAACACGTGATACCTCGGAGAGTCCGGATAAAAGCGAACGGAGCGTCGAGCTCGCTGAGCTGTGAAGGAGCAGCAGCTACGGGCGGATTCGGTGTTGACCACACGTTGCGATCCTAACAGCGCGAGTCTTGCCCAACGAACCGTTGTTGCTTCGTGCGCGAGCAACGATATAATTATTGCCGACCGTTAAAACGTATGTAGATACTGCTAACAGGCGTAGCGCGGTAAGCAGTTACAATTTGTTACTGTGTTGCGCGCATAAGAATCTCACGAAACGGTACGGCGAAAACAGGAGCGTCCCTCGGGTTCATGAATTTAGTAATAACGGTAAAACTGAAACGTTTAAGGGATCAATTGACCGTAACTCGTTCGCGGCGAACATTTTGAGCGTTTCTAACAGGAAATCCTTTAGATGAACAAACTTTTCCGTTGAGTGGAAAAGGAAGAATACGGTAGAAAGAGAAGTTACGGCATTCATTAGCGAGTTCCGGAATTACAAGCGTGAACCACGGTTCTACGCGACTTTCACTCTAAATAATAAATCATTCTTCTCTAAATAATAAATCATCATTCTTCATTCGATAAGGGGCATTTTTTCGGCGAACCTTTCATACCTGTATCCCGACAGATGTTTCTGGTCAGTTTTCCGGAAAAAAAAAAGAAAAAGCGTAAAGAAAGATGAAAGGACCAATACCAACATCAACATGCTAACCGAAACAAAATACGCGTGCATGGTATCTCCTAAATTGGCCATAGTTATGCAAGAATGACTCACAAAATTATGATTTTTGAGTTCTTGTTACCAATATACGGGTAGTCCGTACGTCTTTCCACATAAAACAAAAAAGACCCAAGCCCTATAGCGCTTAAAATTAAATAAAAAACAGTTTTTATTTTCTGCTAGTGTTGCATCTTTTTTACCCACTTTTTTAAAGATTAATCCTGTCAATGAATACTCTTAATTAAAATTCACTTGACCATGCTTAACTTCTCGAACAATTGCGAAGAACCTCAGAATGCTATCTATAACTTAGAATTTCTTCATCTTCATTTTTTTTAAAACTTCATGCGAATAGGATCATTCTTGCGTAACCACGATCAAATATCCGCATCATTTCACGAGAATAAACAAACAGAACATTCAATGTGTCGGGTAAACAGTGACTGACCCCGAAGAGATCTGAGGACGCGTGCGCCGTCGAGGAAATTGACGTACCCTCCGTGTGCGCAGGAGCCGCGTATACGTCCTCCAGCTCTCGCAGGAATTCGTTGGTCACGTGCACTGTATATATGTCCGTGTGCGTATATGTAGTCGCACCGTGTGTACGTAACACCCTGCGCGCGCGTGTGTGTGTGCAACAATTACACCGAAACAAAGGAGCGCCGGCCGGGTCGCCGAAGGACCCAACTGAAGGACGACGACAAGACGCGCGGTCGAATCACCGCCGCTCGAAACGAATCCTCTCCTGGCTTCCTCAGTGGAATTCCTTTGAGTCGGCACGAGATACCGTCACTTCGAGGAGACCACGCGCGTAAAGAAAAGAGAATCGGAACGAAGCCGTTGGCGCGGAGCACGCCGTCTTGTGCGAACACCGCGGCGGATTGAGACCGACTAACCGGCTTTCCGCGTCGGGGCACACGCGAAGCTCTTTGCCGCCGGCCCCTTTAAACCCATCCCTCCGACGGGCCCTCGCGGGAACCGGCCAGGTGAGTTCGTACGGCCCTGAGAGTGGGTGTCAGGAGCGCGCGATTAGCGCGCGAGACGCCAGGTAAAAAAAACGCGAAGAGCGCGCGCGAGATCTATCGCGAACTGAGAACTACGCGGATATCGCGGGAAAAATATCCCGATCAATCTCGCTAAAAAATGGACGAGAAATGAGGGAAACTTCGTTGTGTTCTTTTAGAAAATTCGGAATAAAATTAAATCCCGGACCGGTCAAGAATAACAGACGCATTGAATATGCAGAATTTTTCAGGAGCCTTGCTCCTCCTGTGATCGGATAGCAGATAGAGACAGAGCGGAGAGATAATGTCTGTGATTTATGGATAACCCGCGGGTTATCTTGTGTGAATTAAACAAACGCGTGAACTATTCCCGAAGGAACGAAAATCTGAGAACTTAAACATTTTATCTCATCTGCTTTCTCGTTGCGGTGAAATGTCGGATGTCAAAATCGCACGTTCAAGTGGAAAGATCGCGGCACGGAAGATTAATGAGATGTCGCAGGCGGACGATATCGCTTATCGAATGTCGCGTAACAATCTCGTAACAAGTGTCGCGTTTAAGAAGTGACGTTCCGCAAGAGCAGCGCGATAAGCATACACGGGAATGCACATTTCTTTATCTTTACTCACTTCGTTCGGCACGGAAAAAGGACACGATTGATGACGCATAAAAGCGGGATGGTCTCATTTTTGCGGGTTTCGCTTGATACTGTCGCGTTGGCTTCCTCGCTCAAAAGAACCTGTTCTCGAATCGCGGCTCTCCGAGCGGAGTCGTTCGTATAATTACCCGAAAGTATCCCGCGAAAACCCCCCGACGATACAAAATACACGCACAAGTCGCGCTCGAATTAGGAACAACTTTGATTCGAAGTGAGTGCGCGACTTAAGAACGTTATTAAAACGAACGAACGAACATAGAGAAGGCGGTGGCGGTGGTGGCGGCGGCGGCGCGATTACTCTCTGGAAACCGGTCGCTTTAATAGAGTCGTAAAGCGACTTTATATGAGGATATGAGGATAGTGACACTAATCACCGTAATATGCAAGCGTCCTTATTGTCCGGTTACGCCTCTCCGAGTCGCTGTTCTTACGGAGATTCGCGTGAGTCTGCGAATTTTATTGGTGTGGTAAAGTTTATTGAAAAAAGGAGAGCAGCAACGAGCGGTGGAAGCGTCGTGTAAAGATTCGTCAGCTTGCTTCGCGAGGAATTGTCGACACTGTGATCAGGATATCAATGAATAATTGTTCCAATTATTCATTGAAGTTTGTGGAACTTGAGCGCGAGGTTACACGCGAGGGACGTTCGGCAATAACTGATGCCGAACACTCGCCTCGTTGAAACATTTTCAAGGGACCTTGAGAGTCCCTCCGCTGACTCTTTACGCTTATCCTCATCGAGAGTCCGCCAAAATGTCAAATATGACTAAAGTGAGTCGTTACGCGTCGGCCAGTCAAGGGAAGTCGTGATTAAAGTATGGACGATACGTAAATGCCCTCGAGGGGGATCATTTGCGCCCTCCTCCTGTTCCACGCGAGAGAGCAAAAAAAAGAGAGAGAGAGAGAGAGAGAAGAGGAGGAGAAGAAGGTGAGAGGAGGATATGGAAAACGAGGAAGCGCGATGGAGATAAGCCGGACGATGACGATGAGAAATATCTAAATTAACGTGAAGGAGGAGCGTGGCACATGTAAGATTAAGGCTGGCTCGTCCGACATGACCGTCGTAGCCCGACATGATGTATCGCTGCCTT